TTTTTTTTTTTTTTTTTTTTTTGCCGGGGGTGGAACAAACTTGGGTCCTGCCCTTGCCAGGCAGGCAGTGGAACCACTGAGTTAAATCCCCAGCTCTGTCTGTTTTGGTTTTTGAGATAGGGTTGCTATGTCTTCAGGCTGGCTTTGAACTGACGAGGTAGCCCAGGCTGGCCTCTAGCTCACAGTGATCCTCTTTTCTCAGCCTCCTGTGTGTGCCATACCATGTGTGTACCATGCCATACCTGGCAAGAGTGGTTATATATGCTGGGAAATGTCATAAACTCTAGACACTAATCAGCCTTCTGAAAAAGGTACTGTAATAATCTCTAGATCTGAGGAAACAAGCACAGAGGGCTTAAATGAGGTGATAAAACTGTTGATGGAACTAGATTTGAACCCAGTCTAGCTCCAGAATCTATGCTGTGCTATAGTGGACTATTGTATTATGCTAGCTTTCAAATATGCCCCAAATAGGTCTCCTCATTTTTAGTATCTTGTACATTTTGATCTGGTGTCATCCAGATATATCTTTCCAGAATACTATTTCTATCACCCTACACCCTGGTTCAAACTTTCAGTAACTCTCAGTTCTTCTCCAGAAAAAGTTTTCACAACATATGTCATCCCATAACGTCTGGTCCCAAACAGCCTTTATTTTTATGATATTGAGGATTGAATCCAGGGGTGCTCTACCACTGAGCTACATCCCCAGCCATTTTAATTGGGTATTTTTATTATTATTTTTGGCTGCTGCAACAATAACAAACTGGACTCTTTTATAGGTGGTTATAGTCAATACCAGTTCTAAATACTTTTCTAATATTTATTTTGCCAGCCATAGAAACACTAAAGAACATGATCAAGTCTGTAGCTTATTAATTTAGGCCACTTCAGTGACTATTTTTGAATGACTATATATAGAAAATTTGATTATACAGAAATTGGTAAAAAAAATTCATTCTAATAATAGCTATAGACAGGACTATTCATATTTGTATAACTGTGCCTAAATTATGTTGTTCAGGTAAACAGTGATTTTTTTTCTCATTCTGATATACACTGCCAATTTCAAATTCTAAGACAGATACTGTGCAGCCTATCTAGATAAATGCTGTATGTTGTTATATTTCCCTGTGTAGCATATGTCTCTATACTACAGTATTTCAAAGCAGTAGCCTTTAACAGTGCTTTGTCTTTTGAGCTTCTGTACTTATCAACACAAGGTTTTTAATTTTATGTATGTATGTAGGTATACATACATATGTATGTATACATACATATGTATGTATACCTACACACACACACATATGTAGGTGCTTTTGAGAGAGTTTTGCTATATAATTCAGGATGAGCTTGAACTCACTGTGAATACTAGGCTGGCCTCGAACTTGAAACAATCCACCCTTTCTGAGTGATAGGATTACAGGTGTGCACTATCACATGTGGCACGGTTTTAAATTTTAAAATTCAAAGTAATTAATGCCTAAAACATGAAACATTTACATTGCCAGATCTCTTGGAAGAGAAGAAACAACCAGGGGCCTTGGTGACAGCTTGCCCTGCCAGTAGGGTCACAAGGAAGACATTGCAGGTAATTTGATTGGTAGCATTGAATTCTTTTCTTTGTGGGTTATAAACTCGTGGTGCTTCTTAACAAAACAAACAGTGAAATATTTAATGTACCATTGCTGTGAATTTTTTTTCTTTAAATTGAATTTATTGGTACATTCTAGGTAGACAGTACAGTTATATTCATTACTGGGATCTTGTACCTTTACATGACAGGTCTTGGGTCTCATTTTTTCCCCTTGACCCCACCCTCCCTTCACCCTCTCCTCCCTACAAACACTTTAATTCCATTTTTACATTTTCTCACATTTTTTCCCTTTCCCTTATTCCCCTTCCCCTACCCTTCTCACTGACCCTATACCTTTAGTCCCTTTCTTCCTATTTCACATTGCTAATTATCCCATTAGGATCTTGAGTACTATTTTAGTTTTTGACACCAGAGAAACTATTTGGTATTTACACGTGTGTGACTTACTTATTTATTTCACTTAGGAGTATATCCTCAAAA